GTCAAAGGAACTTTCTATATTACGGAGTATAAAATTGTAATAAATGTATTATTTCTTCTCAAATCCTTACTAGCATCACAATATGATAAGTTCCTTTGAAAAAAATAATCGTTGCCTTTTATTTCATTGTTAAAAAAAAAAATTAACTGGAAATTCTTCATTTGTATATAGTCCTTATTGATATACAACATATCTTATATATAATAATAAATTACGGTATAGGTTATCAGTACTATAATCTCTTTCTCTTGGAAATAGTGTTTAACTTGAGCCCTTATTAATCAACTTAGATCAAAGTTGTAAGTTTATTATGAGCTCATCATCAAGCAAAGGCCAGGTCATATTATTATTATTTTTCTTATAGTAGTTGTTGTTGTGATGATTTTTCTTCTTCTTCTTCTTCTTCTTCTTCTTCTTCTTCTTATTATTATTATTATTATTATTATTATTATTATTATTATTATTATTATTATTACTATTATGACCCCCTTAGTAACCGTATACGTGTTAGAGAAAAAATGCAGAATATATAACTTAATTATCTAGTAACAGGATATTTAATTCATGAAATTAGTTGTAAACACAGTGGATAATTTGGCAATGATTAGTTGTTAGCAATTAAAATAAGGATTAATACGGTTTTTTAATCCCAACTTTGACCAATTTATTTTAAATAATCCCAACTTTCGATTATTCTGGAATAATCCCAACTTTAGGGTGTCTTTTCTTTCTTCGGTCCGGATTACCGGTTACTTGAAGAAAGGGTTAAAAAAATTTTAAACCATTTATTTGGTGTTGCATGCTAATTGGTTCACCAAAATAAAAATAAATTAATTAAAATAAAATAAAAAAAACCAAAGACCCATTTTCTCTCTCCTCCCCTTTGTTGTTCATCCATGGCTGCTGCCATGGCAACCACCACCATTTTACCCTAGCTAGCCACCATCCATCCTCACCAAAACCATCTAGCCACCGCCCACCCTCACCAAAACCAGAATCGCCCACCTCCGTCCCCTCAGTTAGCTGCCACCACCCTTGAAACCCCAAAACCACCACCCCTGAATCCGACCATCATTTGCGACCCACACACAAAGCCACCCCCTCAACCAACCAACACCAACAACCCACAATCGGCCACCCAGCCTCCCCCTCAACCCACCACCAACAATGACGACCCACAATTGGCCACCCCTCAACTTACCATCGTTTGCGTTTTCCTGCAATTGGAGGAGAAAGAAAGTGAGGGGGCTGCATTTTTGGTAAGAAAGTGAGGGGGCTGCATTTTTGGTGGTTTTGGGGGTTGGAGAAGTGATTTCGAAGGTGAGGGTTGTTGTTACAGGTGGTATCGAGGGTTATGGGTGGCGATTTCAAGGTCGTGGGCTTTGGTTATGGTGGTTTCGGGTTTTATGGGTGGCGGTTTCAAGGCAAGGGTTTTTGGCTATGGCTAGTTCAGGGGATAGGGGAAGGTAGAGTGGGCCGGTTTCACGGGGGTAGGGCGAACTCGGGGAGGTTTTGGGGGCTGGGGCTACGGAAATGGTGGTTTTGGGTGAGTGGCCACCGCCAGCGGTTGTGGGCTGGTGGTGGCTTGGTTGGGTTTTTTTTTCTTTTTTTTTTATTGAATTTTTCTTTAATTTTTTTAATATTTTTTTTTTGAACCAATTACAACTTGACATGTGTCAAGTGACCTAGAATAAGAGGTCATTGACTTTCGTTGACCGGTTTGGGATTGAAGAAAGAAAACGCAAGTGAAAGTTGGGATTATTGCAAAATAATCGAAAGTTAGGATTATTTAAATTAAATTGGGCAAAGTTGGGATTAAAAAACAGTATTAATCCTTACAATAATTAGTTAGTGTAATATGAGATACCAAAGCAAAGTAATGAAATAAATACTATAAATTTGGTTGACGGATCACCTTCAAACAAGTTAAAAGCGTTTACTTGTCAAAAGAACTTTGTATGTTACAAGGAATAAAATTGTAATAAATGTACTATTTCTCATTAGATCCTTACTAGCATCACAATAATGATAAGATTATTTGGAAAAATCATCATTGACGTGAATTTTGTTATATAAAATAAATCTACCGAAAAAAGTTTCATTTGTATAACCTCGATCCTTATTTATATGTCTTATGTATAATATTGAAAGACGGTATAGGTTAACAGTACTATAGTATATGAAGACGGTATAGGTTAACAACACAATAATTTATTTCACTTACAAATAGTGTTCAACATGAGCCCTGATTAATCAACTTAGATCAAAGTTGTAAGCTTATTATGAGCTCGAGCAACGGCCAGGTCATATTATTATTGTTGTTCTTATTAAAGTTGTTGGTGTGATTATTTTTCTTATAATTACCCCCTTCCCCCACATCTTTGTTCATTTTGTTAGTATATTAATTAGTAACCGTACACATGTTAGAGAAAAAATGTAGAATAAATAACTTAATTATCTAGTAACAGGATAGTTAATTCATGAAATTAGTTGTAAACACACGTACTAGATAATTTGGCAATGATTAGTTGTTAGCAATTAAAATAATTAGTTAGTGTAATATGAGATACCTGAGCAAAATAATGAAATAAATACTATAAATTTGGTTAACGGATCACCTTCAAACAAGTTAAAAGCGTTTACTTGTCAAAAGAACTTTGTATGTTAATTACAAGGAATAAAATTGTAATAAATGTATTGTTTCTCCTTATATCCTTACTAGCATCACAATAATGATACGTTTATTTGACGTGAATTTCATTATATAAAATAAATCTACCTGAAAAAGTTCCATTTGTATAACCTCCTTATTTAAATGTGATATTTCTGATGTATAATAATGAAAGACGGTATAGTTTAATAGCACAATAATCTATACTAGGCCATATTATTATTGTTGTTCTTATTGTAGGAGTTGGTGTGATTCTTTTTCTTCTTCTTCTTCTTCTTATATATTATTATTATTATTATATATTGAAGGATAGCTATATAGATAATAGCTGTTGCTTAAGATTATTTTGTTTTTAGTAACAACAACTGTTTGATTAGTTTTAATTTTTGTAATTATAACATAACCTGGTAACAGAAGAATATTGTAGTTACCGTGTACATGTTACAGTCAATGAAAAACTAATGTAAACCACATTTCTTGTAACAAGTCCCTTTGTAATTGGGGCTTCAAGGTATAGTCTGCAAATTGCTAATATAAATAGTTAATTTTTTTTACTTAAATTTAGTAGACGCTAAAATAAATAGTTAAACTTTTTTTCATAATATAGGTAGGTATAGGATTTTTTACTCATTTAATTAGTAATTGATTGTGACATGAATAATAAGAAGGTTGATTAGTATCTAACACATTTTAATTTGTACATGATTAATGAAATAATATGATTTTACTTAAAAAAATTGTTATTGTTACTAAATAAATATCTATCTTTGTATCAGCCATGAACGTCGCAAGGACTGAAAATTAATTACCCGTTCAAGTTATGAATCAAGTATATATTAACTAAATTGATATCATGTACTGAAAATTAATTTACCGTTCACGGTCGATTGCTGAATCTGGAAAAACGAGATAAGTGCAGTAAAATTGATTTAATTACATTAAAGAAATGTTATAAATAAATCGATCATGCTGGATTGTTGAACACAAAATCGAATTTGTTTGACCAGTGAACATGCTCGCGAATTGAAAATTCTAATTACTTCATCGGAAAAATCGTCGGCGTTGGATTCTGTCATCTTCTCCGGTGTCATGTTCATCTTCTTCGGCGTCCTGTTCATCTTCTCCCGGTAAGCAACTTTTTTTTTTAACCTGTATAATAGTTGTAATAATATCCTAAATAATTTAACAGAAATTTCAGGAAAAAAACAAAAAACAAATAAATTTGTGCAATTTATGCTATTAGGCGCCAAGATTTTCCCCAGCATCTTTCCCGCTTAGAAAGGAGGTTGGGCGCCGATGAAAATTATTCCCCCTAATTTTCCCTCTTTTTTTTTGGCTCTTGCTGATGTGGCAGCTCCTAAATGGTAATGTATGTTGGGATCACATACAAGGGTTGTATGTGTATCATTGTCCCGTCAAATATCCCCTTTATATGAAATCTCAATTTCTAACTAGAATATAAAATTAGCTATAAATTATTAAAAATGTTAATGCGTGCATTAAGTGCTAGTTTTAATGTTAACCAAGTCATGTATTTAAATATCTCGAAACCTCAATTTCTAAACTAGTTGTCTTTACCCAAATAACCTCGCAAATTATTTGGTATTTAATTTTGGACTACATGTTCTTTGATTTTTAACTATACATTCTTTTAATTTATACTCTTTTCAATATGACACACATGTTCTTTAAATTTTTAGATAAAAAATGATTATGTGTTTTGGGTTTAAAGTACATGCAATGCATATTCTTTGTTGCTTCTGGGGTTCATGTTCATTCAATTTAACTCATTTGTTTAAGCTATTATGTTTAATGATTTTACACGTTCATCGGGTACACAATAAGCATTGCAAAACAATAATTACTAAAATCAAATCTGTGTGGATCAAATTATATTAACTTGTTTTTATAAATTAAAATTATACTTCCTCTATTCCACAAATATTGCAACAAGGATGATATTACGCATCCTAAAGCACATTTTATATATTAAATATCTATAATTATATAAGAGTAAAAATTATAAAAAGTTTATATTGTGAAAGAATTTTACGAGACGAATATAACAAGACTCTACATGAATATATTTTACTTTACGTATAAATTATAATTTTTGATCAAATAAGCATGATGAATAGTACAAAAATCTAATTGTTGCAATATTACTAAAATGGAGGAAGGATTAATCGATGATGATTGAATATTTGAATTCCCTTAGATAAAGGCATAAGGCCCAAAAGCCCAAATATGACAATAAGCAATAGGATGGGTCCTACACTCTTTCGCTTTTTTTTCAAGTGAGGTCTAGACATTTCTTGGTCGTTATACTTCAATCTATTGATTATTGTCCACCTCAAAATATAACCAAAAACATAAACGTCACACAAAATTCAGCAAACCACAAAAAAGAATAGAAATAATATGGCTACACCAATGCATATTTCACGACCCTCTATATTCAAACCACCGGAAACCACCCATAGCCACCGTAATCGCTACGGTCCACCCACCATAACGCTATACAAAAAGAAGCCTCTATTGGTCTCCTTCGCCTCGATTTCATCGGAACCATCTCCCTCATCGGAGCTCAAGAAGCCCGAAATTGAGCTCGAATTTATCGGGGTACGTACATACATACACTTATTAAAATTTACACGTGTTACGTTATTTTATTGGTGAAACATAATTGATTAAATTAAGTTGTTGTTTTTGTTTGGGTGGTTGATAAATGTGTGAAGCCTAAAGCAGGAAATGATGGATCATATCCGCTGGATAGAGCAAGAGCAGTGAGTGGTGAGAAGTTGCTTAGGAACATTATGGCGGATAACAAGATTGAGCTTTATGCCACCTATGTAAGTTCGTTGTCAAGTTGCAATTGGCTCTATTACGATTATAAGTTAATTCTGGAGAAGTTTTGTGTCTACCTAAAATAGTTTATACTCCTACATTATTTTATAGTCTTAAAATTTACAAAGAATATTATTAATTGTTGTACATGGCCTGGTGTGAAATATGAGGGACGTATCGTGTGCATTATTTACCTAGTTTGTTACAGTATTACGGAGTATATGCCTTGATAGCTTGACTTATTTTAGCTTGTTGTGTTTGGTGAATAATTTGTATTTTGAGGTAATTCGTTGTCAAGAGCCTACATGTCACGTGGCGTTCTTCTCAATTTTTCGAGTCTTTCATTTCACATGCTTAAAAATATGAATTGTACAAGATTTAAACCCACAATCTTAAGTTTAAAATTAAAACTCATGTGTTAGCCACTAAACTATCACCATATTAGATCTTATTCTACCAAAATTCAATATAAATAACGATTTCAATCATGAAATTAATATAGTAACTCGGGGTATCGCCTGAGCCTAAAAACTAGTTTTAATCTAATTGTTGATATAGTGTTTAGCTGTTAATAACTATCCCCCCCCCCCCCCACCACCACACACACACCCAGCATTGCCATATGTTTATCCCAAAAAAAGAAAAAAAAAAAAAAAAAAAAAAGAAGGGTTTGTGAGGGACTGCTACATTTTACATTTTGAAGTCTGTATGCCAAGTTTCGAGGCTTACCATTTAACAATATTATTTTTATATATGTAGTAATACTCACTTTAATTCCTAATCTAAGTACTTTAAGTTGATTATGGAAACAAACTTCACTTTATTTCTTTTACATATGTATAAAAACGTCACAAATGTAATAAGGTAAACGAGTTCTGTCCTTAAAAAAAAAAAGGTAAACGAGTTCTGATCATATGGATTAGATTGTGCTTACAAGACTTTAACCATTTAATTTAATTTAATTAATATCATCGATTATGGTTAATTACCTCATCCAAAAATCATATTATATGGTGTAAAAAAAAATCATATTATATAATAATATAATTGTTGTAGATATATCGAGTTATAAAACACAAATGACGTAGACAAAATTCAATTGGACGTATTAAGACTCTGTTTGTTTAAATGGAAAATATATTTAATTGGAAATTCGAAATTCCATGAAAAATGTTCACTAGATAAATGCAATTGAAGACTTTTTTATTTTGTTTGATTGTATAGAAATTTCTAGATACACATCTAAATTCTCTAGCAAGAAGAAGCCAGGCCATTCCCTTGCTTTCTCCATACACATCTCTTAACCTAGGGATCGGAATATTTTAAACCATGTTACAAATATAGCTGAATTTATGAGTTTCTACCATACTCAATTTTGGAAATTTTCTTAGGAATATGAATATGTTGTCTTGCTGAAATTGATCTTACTTCCAAATTTTATGCATGCATCAGGGGAAAGTAATGAACTGTGGAGGTGTTGGAAATTGTGGAACTTGCATCGTTGAGGTACATATTATTGCTCACTCTAAACATCTATTAACATGTATTTCTACGAAAATTAAGAAGATAGAACTCTATTTGTAGAATAGAGGGAGTATTTATGTCAAAGATACTACACTTTAAGCATCTATTAATTAAACTTTTTTCTTACGTTGTACAACTCTATTTATATAAACATAACAACAAGGTTTCCTACCGCAAAGCAAATTGTGTGAATTTTTTTAGTAGGTCTATTTTTTTTTTCTCGAATAAATTATTATGCTAAAAATATACGAATTTTGTAGATTCTTGATGGAAATGATCTTCTCAATGAAAGAACAAATGCTGAACTCCGATACTTGAAAAAGGTAAGTTTTCTAATTTCTACTAGCTATTTCGATAAATTTTTTTGTGGCTTCTCAATCACACCTCTAACACACATTTCTTTAATTCTGTGCCACTTTCTATTGTTAGTTAAATTCATAAAATGCATGGTTGACAACGAATAACAACTACATAGTATAACAATTAATTGTTCTTGATGATATTCATGTTAATAGCATATAATCCCTTCGTTTTAAAAAATTTTTGCTTTTTTGATTGTGCACATTATGTAAATGTTTGAACTCGCTATGGTTCAGAAACCTGACTCTTGGAGGCTCGCTTGCCAAACAATTGTTGGGAATAAAGAGAATTCTGGAAAGGTACGTCTCTCGTTCTTCTATTTTTACTGAATTGAAATTAATTTTACTAAACTGAAATTATTTTTGCTGAAATGAAATTATTTTTACTGATTTTCTAGTACATTTCTTCTTTAAGTTTACTAATTTTTACTGAACAAAAATTATTTTCATTGAACTGAAATTATTTTTGCTGAACTGAACTTATTTTTACTGAATTGAAATTAATTTTAATGAACTGAAATTATTTTTACTAAATATTATTTTTTTAAGGTCAAGTGAACAGGACCTTATAATGTATCAAGATAATCATAAAATCATTTTATAAAGCTTAACATTTAAATTCCCCACTTAGCGACAACCCTACTTAGCTTAGCGTACAACAAAAATACAATAGAACCTTCTTTTTTTTTTTTTGGTGAAAGAAAGAAAATAAAATCATATCTATCTATAGTAGTATATAAAGTGAAAAGGGGTTTTGGGTGATAAAATTTTATTTTTCCAAAATGCCCCTTTCATCTTTTATTTTGTTTAAAAAAAACTACCATTAGTTTAAAAATATAACTACCATCCTTTTTTTTTTTTTCCAGGGGAAATCATATCCTACTATTAACCTCCATCACTTCTTCAACCTATAAACCCGCTAATATATTTTGTTTTTATTAGAATAAGATAGATAATATTATAGGAAAAAAAAAAGAGAATCGAGCCATGCATATAGATTTCTTATATTGCACATGCAATTTGCGTGTGTCTTGCAGCTTGTAGTACTATATAAAGAGAAAGGACCTTTTGGTTGATAAATTTTTTTTTCCTAAAATACCCTTCTACATTTTAAAAATTACATTTTTTTACCCACAATTAAAAATTAAGGGTTATTTTAATTAAAAAATAAATAAAATCCTATCCTATCATAACTACCCATAAACATAAACCATTATTTAATTAAAAAAATAAAAAATTGCATCGAATGTCTTTAGTTAAATTTGGGAAGGGAGAGCGAATCTCTAAGCTTGTGAAGTATAAATTGAAAGGGGTTTTGGGTGATAAATTTCACTTTCCCAAAATATCCCTCTCATTTTTTTTTCTTTTTTTTATTAAATAAAAAACCTATCATCCTTTAAAAAAAAACTATCATCTTGATTCGAAAAAAAGAAAAAACTTCTGTCTTTTCTTTTTCAATTTTTTTTTGAGGGAAATCAAATTTTATTATTTAGCCAACATGACATCATCAACATATTAATTAATTATTTTTATCAAGAATTCTTAAATCCACTAATATTACCCACTTATATTTTAAAATTAGAATTAATTTTTTTTTACACAAAAATTAGAATTAATTAAGGAGATAATATTATGGGGGAAAAAAAAAATTGAGCTTGATAGATTACTTATATTGCGCACACATTGTGTGCGTCTCTTAGCTTGCAGATTTAGTGTTAAGTAATTTCTACAATTTCATGTTTAAAAAAAAGGAAAATTTGATTCTAATAATCCCACCTTTGGCCGGTTCGCTGCTAATAATTCGACCTTTTAATTATTATCTGATAATGCCACCTTTAGGGGGCATTCTCTTCTAATAGTCCCTAATCTGTTGGTGACCGGTGCAATGGGTTAATATGTCATGTGTCACTTTGTGATTCGTCGAAATATTTTTTTATATTTCTTTTAAAAAAATATTTAAAAAGTAATTTTTTTTTCCCCTTTCCTTCTTTCTTATCGTTTTGAAAACAAAAATAAATAAATTAATTTTTTTCTTACCTCCTGGTGGCCAAGGAATTTTTTTTTTTTTTAAATATATTTTTTTATATTTCTTTTTAAAAAAATATTTTTTTTATATATTTCTTTTAAAAAAAATTTAAAAAGTAATTTTTTTTTTCCTTTTCCTTCTTCCTTATCGTTTTGAAAACAAAAATAAAAAAATTAATTTTTTTCCTTACCACTTGGTGGACAAGGAATTTTTTTTTCTTTTAAAAAAAATTTAAAAAGCAATTTTTTTTTCCTTTCCTTCTTCCTTATCATTTTGAAAACAAAAATAAAAAAAATTAATATTTTTTCTTACCTCCTGGTGCCAAGGAATTTTTTTTTAAAAAAATAATAATAAAAAAAACACTTACCCAAATAACAAGTTACCAGTCATAAGGGACCATTAGAAGAGAATACCCCCCAAAGGTGGGATTATTAGATAATAATCAAAAGGTGGGATTATTAGCAGCGAATCGGTTAAAGTTGTGATTATTAGAATCAAATTTTCCTAAAAAAAATTATTCTTTATGTTAAAATCTTAGTTTTGCTCCAACACATAAACAAATTCATCGTCCTTACATGTATTATCTCAATAAAAACAACAATTTAATGTTTTTTTTTTCTTACTATGTACTCCATATATATAACCTTATTTAGTTTTTAGAAAGGGTGAAAGTTTATATGTGTATATATTATAACTTTAATATTGTATATAATATTGTTATTAAATCATATTTTACTTAAGTCTCGTACTGTTATTATTTCAGGTTGTTGTTCAACGTATGCCTCAATGGAAAAAATGACAATAAACAAGCAAAATCAACGGTCTACTTTGCAAGTGCCATACATGCACACATCCAAATATATAGCTAATCTTCCTATATTATTTTTTATTTTATTCTTTTGACAGCTATATTATTTTTTATTATAACGAGTTAAAATGTTGTTTTCAAAATGTTCAGTGACTTTTTTTGCTGTAATTTGCAAAAAATAAACTTTGATGGTCGTAATCCTTAAAATGAAAACTTTTATCGATTGTGATTGTCAAATTTTTCTGAGTTTATTAATAAAAGATTAGCACAAACCTAACACAACATGACAACGCGACATTTTTTTAACCCATTCTAGTTGATAAACCATCTAAGCACGAGATATTCTAGTTGATAAACCATCTAAGCACGAGATACACTTGTCACGACCAAGCTCACAAAAGTAATGTTTGTGCGTAGGGGTGCTTATTATGATGCGAGTTGAGCTCGAATATCACTAAGCTCGACTCGAACTTGATAGCAAAATCCTAAGCTCGACTCGAGCTCGAAAACTCGCGAGCTTCAAAAACAAAGCTCAAACTCGACTCAATTAGCTATCAGTTAAGCTTGACTCGAGCTCGAACTCGGTCGATTGAAGCTCGAATGAAACTCGCACCACATAATTTATATACAAGTAAATCCAAAGGCATGTAGATGCAATTGCAACAACTTTTACCAAGCTATTCATTCAATCATTCGAAACTTATAGAACATAGCAGATTTAGTATCTCAATTCTCAAATCCTACAAAATTCCAAAATAACGGAAATCCGAGCTTAAGAACACAATAAAATGTAGATAATATACAAACATAATCTAATCAAACCATAAAATTGTCAATTACCACACACACACAAAAAGAAAAGAAAAAAAAAAAAAAAGCAAAAACCCAAATAATTTAACATATATATATATATATATATATATAAGGTAAAACCTGAGAAATAGATAAATTACAATGAGGCATGTCATGGTTTTGTCGTCTCTTTTCGGATTGATTATGATGCTCGCCGGAGATTTATGCTCGTCAGACTGTCTATGCTTGGGGGGGGGGGGGAGAGAAAGAGATAGTGATAGCATATAGTAGCCGCTATGGCCCTGTTCAGTTCACCTTAAAACATAATATTCACTAAAAATAATTTCAGTTCAGCAAAATTAATTTCAGTTCAGCAAAAATAAGTGCAGTTTAGTAAAATTAATTTCAATTCAGTAGAAATAATTTCAGTTCAGCAAAAATCAGTAACTCTAAAGAAGAACTATAATAAAGAATCAGTAAAAATAATTCCAATTCAGTAAAATTAATTTCAGTTCAGTAAAAATAATTTCAGTTTCAGTAAAAATAAGTTAAGTTCAGCAAAAATAATTCCAATTCAGTAAAATTTAATTTCAATTCAGCAAAATAAGGTGAAGTGAACGGGGCCTAATTAAGAGGAATAGAGTATAGTGGAATGAGGTATTCTGTTTAAGGGTGTTCAAAAATTGGTCCAGACCAAAAAAATGGACCGGACCAAATTAATCAGTCCGATCTCCGATTTGAGAAATTTATTTTTCGGACTTCGGTCCGATCCGGTCCAAAACACAATAAAAACCGGTCTTGGACCAGACCGGTTTTTTGCTTAAAATTATACATAAAACCTTTAATAATGATTAAGATATTCCTTAACAAGATTGGAAAAATTTAGTGGTATGAACTTTTTTGTACTAAACATACAGAAAAAGACATTAAAATATTGTTTTTCCTTTTTTTTTCCTCGTTTTCCATACGTTAAAAGACGTTATTGGTCTGGAATATTTTATCGTATGAACTTTTTTGTACTAAACATTCGTATTATTTAAAATTTAGATTTTTTTTTTTATAAAAATACTAAAATCGGTCCAAACCGGTCCGGTCCGGGTTTTGGACCAATTTTTTCGGTCCAATCCGGATTCGATCCTAGCTTTATTGGTCTGGTGTTCGGTTCTTGAAATTCAAATTTTCGGTGTTCGGTCCGATCTGGTCTTGGACCAATGAACAACCCTAATTGTCTTTAGGGTTTAATTTTTTATTGTTTAGTTTTTACTACTTGAATCTTTGACTGTTGAAGTGTTGGGATGAAAAAAAATCAACGGTTAAAATATTATGGTGCGTACAAAAAATTATATTGTTATTATTTTTATTTTAATGCATTATCTTTTAAAGTTAAGACTTAACAATTTTTTTTAGGAAAGCTAAGACTTAATAAATTAAGAGAATAATTATTAAATATTAGAAAAAATACACTTTAATAGTCCCAACTATTGTCGATTTATTTCTAATAATCCCAACTTTGCTATGAGTTTGCCTTTAATGGTCCCAATGACTGGTAACCTGCTAAAAGAGGTGTGGGTGTGTTTTTTTTTTGTTTTTTTTTTTTTAATAAGTAACGTGTCAACACGTGAATGGTCCAAAATTTAAAATAAAAAAAAAACATAATTTTTTTTTTAAGAAAGTTAAAAAATTCCCAAAATTCCCAGCCACCCTTTCCCCACCCCCTGATCTCACCGAAAACCCTAAACCCACCCCTAACCTCGTCGGAAACTGACCGGTCACCCCCGTTAACCCCCGAAAACGACCGATTGGTTCTCTACCTCCTCGACCCCCGAAACCACCCACCTAACCCACCCTGACCCCCTTCCACCTTAAAAATCCCCATAACCACTTGAAACATGCCCTCTCCCATCCTTCGCTGCCAAATTAAAACCGCCCCTCCTCCCTTTCTCGACCCTCAAAATCGGTCGCTTCGGCGGTGGGGAAGAGAGCAGGGGCGGTATTGGCGGTGTAGGAAGGGAGAGGGCTTGGTTTCTTTGGGTCGGGGTGGGTTGGCTTGGTGGTTTGGGGGTCGGGGGTGGGCTAGCTAGGTCGATGGTTTCGTGGGTCGGATGGATGGTAGAGGGCCGACCGTTTTTGGTGGTTAAGGTGGGGTGGCTGGCTGGTTTATAGCGAGGTTAGGGGGTGGAGTTAGGGTTTGATGGTGGGGAAAGGTTGGCTAGGAATTTGAGTTTTTTATTTTTATGGTTTTCATTTTTTTTTAAAATTTAGACCAATCACGTATTGACACATGTCATGGTTAATCGTTATAACAGGTCGTTGATCGGTTAGGATTGCTGGAGGCAACCTTATAGCAAAGTTGGGTTATTTGATAATAAACCTCAGTTGAGATTATTAGATGTAAATCGCCAATAGTTGGGATTATTAAAGTGTATTTTTTTTTCTAAATATTATTTAAAATATATAAATATTTTTTTGAAATAAATGTTAATTATATTGAGCTTATCACGAGCTTTTCGAGTTGAGTAGCGGCTTGCTCGACTCGACTCGCTAGTCCCGAGTTGAGCTTATTGGAGTCGAGTGTTGACCGAGTAGTTCGTGAGTTGTCTCATCTCTAAGCAGCCCTATTTGCTCGCCCCATATTTTCATAGGAAAAATTCACGGGAATAATCCCACCTTTGCGCCGTTCGTTTTTAATAATCCCACCTTTGGATTATTTTTTAATAATCCGACCTTTACCCCCAATTCTTTTTTAATGGTCCCATTTGACCGGAAACCGGTTAAACCAGTCAAATATTTTTTTTTGTTTTAAATACACGTGTCACTGTGCAATTTGTCTAAAATTTTAAATTAAAAAAAAATTAAAAAAAGAAAAACAATTTTTTTTTAATTTTTAAATTTTGATAATTTTTACAAAAAAAACGAAATTAAAAAAAAAAAGAAAAACAGAAAAAAAAAAAATACTCCCTACCACCCTGCCACCACCTTCCCCACCACCCCTGCCACCATTCCCTCTCCTCCTCCTCTTCACGCAGCACCCCTCCCCCCCCAGCCCAGAAATCGGCCGGCGTCCAGCTAATCCACCGCCGGCCGAGCCACCCCCAATGATCCGACCTCCCCTTACCGTCGGTCGTCGCCCCACCCATCCAAACAAACCCTAACCCGCGAAAACCGCAACCACTGTAAACTTCTTAGTGCTCCACATTCGATGCACTTACATTAAAATTCAAATAATCATGTTTAATTTCTTGGTTAAAGGTACACGCTTGGTATAAGTGCTAGGTCACACTCAGGTATTACTGATAATTTAAGTGCCTGAAATTAAGCTCAAGTGTGACAACATGGATGTGCATTGTGTTGAGTGTGCTTGATAGGGTCAGGTTTTCCGGCTACGATAGGGGGCTAGGGTGGGAAAATTTAGGGGCTTTGTGTGCTAAGGTGGAGGTTTTGCGGTGGTGGGGGATTAGGTGGGGGTATTCGCTGGCGGTGGCGGCGTCTAGGTGAGGGCTTTCAACGGCTATGGGGTTGCGGGTAAAGGGGAGAGGTGGTTGAGTGGCGTTGTGGGAAAGAGGGGGAGGGGCTTGGTGGACGGTGGTTTCCAGGGAGGGGGAAGTGGATGACAGGGGAGGGGGAGAGGGGTCACGAGCTGTGGCAGGGGAAGGGGGATTTTTTTTTTTTTTTTTTTTTTTTTTTTTTTTTTTATATATATATTAAGGTTTTAAAAATTAAGTCATTTTAAAAAAAATGTAAAAGTTAAAATATTTTTTTTTTAATTTTTTTTTTTACCAATTATATGCTGCCACGTGTCATGTAACCTGTTATAACAGGTTACATGACCGGTAGGGACCAATAAAAATAAAAGGCACCCAAAGGTTAGATTATTAAAAAATAACTCAAAGGTGGGATTATTAAAAACGAATCGCTCAAAGGTGGGATTATTCCCGTGAATTTTTCCATTTTCATACTCCATTTTTTATGGAATATCCTCATAATCCTTGTTCCCCACGTTTGCGCGCCAATTTGTGGTTGTTAAATAAGGCGGCTTGATTATTTTTGGCAAGAAAAAGGCGGCTTCATTATTTTTGGCAAGAAAAAAGGCGTTTTATTGAAGCTTTATATTTGGCTTAAATTGCATAATTGATACTCGTAATTGCATAAAATTCTAAAGGTTCGTTGTTGAATTTCCTTTTTGTTGTTAGATTGATTAATCACATTGTTTAATTTGTGCATTCTTTTTATGATTTAGTTTGTGATTCGATAATTAGGGTTTAAGGATTTGTTTTTTCGCTGAATGTTAGAATTTCACTGATTCGATCGAATTTTTCAGTTCTAGGGTTTATAATTTATTCTGCAGAATTATTCCTAAATTAGTGCAGTATTACTTTGCTTAAACCCTAGGTTTTTTTTTTAGTATAAGGTAAATTCGAGTATAGTGCTCAA